CAGATCTACAAGTTTTGGTAAGCAAGATGAAATTGGCTTGAATAGGTTCCCATGTTTAGCAAGTTATGGATCTTTCCAGTTTCTTCAGGAGCAAGTGTTGGAAGCAAGCACGTCTCAAACAAGACTTTTCAAAGCTACTTATGTGAGGCAGGGCCAGCTCCAGAAACTCCTTCCCTACAGCTTTCGGCATACTTGGCAACAGCAGATTCCAAAGTTTTTGCATGGAGAACCTCATCCCAAAGGAAAAGGTTAGGAAGCTCTGTAAAAGTGTTGGGATTTGTTCTGATCTCCCCCAAACTTGAGCCTTACTGTGCACCATCCTCAAGCTCCAAAGTGCAGCCTCAGGACATCCTATCCCAGCAGATATTTGTTCTGCCCCACTAGGGAACTTGGGGAAAAAGACACACGGAAGTGGGGATGTGAGCTGGAGAGATTCAAGCTGCTGACAGAAAAAAATTTTAGAGACAGAAGTCAGAGGAATAGCTGGCAGAGGCTGAAATCAAACCTGCCTTTCTCTCTAATAGCCCTTCAGGGGCCATTGCTCTTGAAGGCACCCTGGGCAGCCTCAAAAGCAGGAGCTGACCTTGCTCCACAAGAAAGTTGCATCACACCAACTTTTCCTGCACAGTGCATCCCTCGTCAGCTACCCTGCTGCCCACAGGGGGATGCGGGTGGCAATGCCTCCCCTCTGCAGGGTGAAAACTGGTAGCTGCAAGCAGTCCCCTCACCTCCCCAGGCTGACCACGGGGCCTTGGTCAGGGGCTGGTACACTATGGAGAAGAGTGCTGCAATGCTTACACTTCCAAGAGTGCTATCTGCTCAGCTCCTGGGTGTGGGAAAGGAGACTTGATGTAGGGCAGCCTAACAGATCCTACACATGGATGGCTGAAGCCACATGACAACGAGAGGCTAACAGATGTGCTAACAACCTTTGCCTGTGCCTAGTTACAGGACTGACTAGATATTAAGGGTCTAATATCTCCCTGTACAGTCCTAGAAGCTGCAAGAAATCCGAAACTTTCATTTTAACGCCATGAAAGAGAAGGCCAGCCTTCATGGAAACCCACAGCCATTTCCATCTGCTCTGGAACATTTGAAAATCTTAGCTTGCATCTGGTTGTGCAAGATCTCAGCATGGCTTTGGATTTAGGCTGTAACAAATTCGAGAGCAGAAAAATATGGCTTTGGATTTAGGCTGTAACAAATCCGAAAGCAGAAAAACCAAAGCCTTTGAAGTATCCAAGCAGCATACATGAGAGTCACAGAAATATGCCAACATAGAAGAGAGGAGTGGGGCACCACCACTCCTGGCTAGGCAACACAGCACCTTATCAAATGGTTCAGCTTCCAGTGAAGGATGTCCAGTGCAAGGATCTTCTCTGAGGGGGACACTGTCTACTTCATCACAAACAGGGTGGTCTCAAAAAATACTTGAATTCTAAAGAATCCCACAATTCCTAGCCAGGCACAAACATCCAGACTGGGACAGAGGAAGGAGAACATGTGCAAGAAAGCAGTGCAGGATAGGAGAGGCATTCGGAGGAACAGCCTGCACTTGGCTGGCAAACCCTACGAGTTGTATTTATGCTCAGTTCTTGGCAAGCTCAGAAGAAGTAAAGGGCTGTAGGAATTGGATCAGAGCCGGCTATAAACAGAGTTAAACAAACCAGTCTGCTCTCACCGCTCAGTATTTTTTAGAAAGAGTTTGAATTCCTATAGATGTCACAGATCCATCTGTGGATCTCAAAGCACTTGACAAGTTGAGTTTAGCCTTGCAACAGCCCAGTGAGGTAGGTATGACAGTGGTCCCCTGATTTTGCATGGAGAGGGGAAATGAGAGACCCTGAAAAAATGTCACTAAAAATACCAGAACAGGGAATATTCTGGAGCCACTGTTGCCCTTTCAGTCTGCCCTCATCCCTAAGCAGGTTGCATCTCTAAAGAGACCATTTGAGAGGCTAAGTCCTCTCCTTCAGATTTCATCAGGCAAAGCATTCATGCTGCTAACACAGGGAAGAGTGTTTAATGTAGGAGTTGGCCCCTGTTGACAGTGTCCTTTTCAGCAGCAGGCAGAAAAGGCAGCATTGAACCACAGCAGAGAGATGAAGAAGCAGACCCAGAGCGAGCACACATCGCTTCCGTCTGGTTCTACATGTGTTAAAGGACTTAACAAAATTAAGACATGAGTTTCCTGAGCAGATACTGTCAGACAACCCCCCTTGTGGGGCAGGGAAAAGGAAAGGGGAAGGAAATCCTGGGAAAGTAAGAAAGTTTTGCAGATGTGCTTGTGACAAGGTGCTCTCACACACACTCCACACCCAAGCCCCAGGCAAGGTGGTTCTTGTTCTGGCTTCACAGACATGAGCCAATTCAGCCACAGGCAGTAGCCTCCACACAGGCATTAAGTGCTCCACAGTCTCCCAAGCTACTCCCAGTCTCTCCCACCCTGCTGGTTATGCACATAAAAGCCAGGTGCAGGCATCTTTTGGAGAGCCAAGTGTAAGATACTTATATGCTCTCCTTCCTTTTTCTTTTTTTTCTTTAAAAGGAATAAGACAACCTATTTTTTCAAAGTAAAACACTGCAAAGGCCACAGTCAATAAAGGAGTCCCCACAGAGACTACCAGAGAGCCTGATCTACAAAGAAACCCAAACGCTGAGTTTAGAGAAGGGAAAACTCTACCTACTTCTCACCCTGTAAGGGCCAAGGGGCTAATCCTGACATATACTGTGCCATCTAGTTTCTTCACAACCACATCTGGCACATTACAGGGAGAAAAAAGAATCCAGGAGACTACCACATGCGTGTAAGAAAGGCGCAGGAAACTGCAGGTATCACTTGGATGGGGAATCACCACTTTGGACCCTTGCTCTCCAGGGTGCTCCCTTGATCCCAAGAGGACTATCTGCAGTTGGTGTTGGACATCCATCTCCATTGCTGCTGAAGCTGGAAGAGGATGGACCCTTCTGCCCTGTCCCCCAGCATCTCTGCTTAACCTGACTGCTCCATCTCACCAGCTTGTGGTGGGCACCACTCAGACCCTGGACCCTTCTGCCCTGTCCCCCAGCATCCCTGCTTAACCTGACTGCTCCATCCCACTAGCTTGTGGTGGGCACCACTCAGACCCTGCTGGGCAATGCAGGACTAGCAGAGCTCCACTCTTTGCTTGGCTGCCTCATGCTGGGGGGAGCATGAAGACAGCCCCATGAGCACCTGGATGAGCTCAGGGAAAGCTTGGGTAACACCAAAGGGGACAGTAGGGGCTGTCATAGCCCTCCTCAGAAGGCTATGCATGCTGGCAATGAAAGGCACTGGCTTACAAACCACTGGAACTAGGGCCTTCTTCATTAAGACATCCATATGGAGGGCAGGACAGATCCTGCCTGATAAGGGATATTTGCATGGCAAAAGGCTGAGCAGAATGAATTGAACATTTACATTCACAAGGATCTCCCAGGGACCTGACTGAAGGCAGGTCACTGCCAGTTTTGCAGGTGGCTCTGGTCACGTGATGCCCTGTGACAGCAATCACACCGATTTAGGCTCATTGTTAAAAACAAACCTTCCAGAACTCCATAAAACTCAGGTGACACTAAATTCACACACAAAAGCTGCACTGATGGGCAAAGGCAGCCTTACAAACAAAACTGCATATCTCAGGAGCAGATCCCAGCATGGAGCAGAAACTCCTGCAGTACAGCAAGGCCAAGAGAGGCAGGCAGATTTTCAACATTCAGACATTGTTTGGTATTTCTCAGCTATAGCTGAAGGCGTACAGTTGGGAAGGACTCACCGCAGTGTTTTCAAAGCACAACAGCTCTCCAAAGCAAGTGAGCATAGAGGTCAGCCCTTCCCTGGCTCCTCTCCTCATGGAGGGAAGTGCTTTTGCCCGTCTTTTCTCCAGACACACTTGAAGCTGGCTAGAGAGGGAGGGGTACATTCCTGCCTGCACCCCTTTTCCCTCAAAGAGGCTGTCAGACTTAGGGAGGGTCTGTGATTTATCTGAGAAGCCGCCAGCTACTTACCTACCCTGTCCCAGTGCAAATATGCAGCCCTTGCAGGTGCAAAAGGAAGTGGTGGTAAGGCAGACCCTGAGGGGACCATGCCTGGAGAAACACATTCAGAAAGCCAGACAGAAGGGGACAGAAACAGGGAGCCTTGGGAGTGCCTGACAAAGATGCAGACAAGCAGGAGAGAGGGGAACAGGGGAGAGATAACAGGGCGCTGTGCCATGCAGAACAATTGCACTAACAAGCACTGCTAGGAAAAAAGAAAGACTAATAAAGATTTGAAGAGCTGCAAGATGGGCTGATCCAGTTCAAGACAAGCAACTTCACAGAGAGCGAAACCATCCCATTATGCTCATACAGGCCCAGCACTGACAGAAGAGGCACATGGAGAGGAGGAAAAGAAAAAAAAAAAGAATAAAAGTCCTTTCACAAGAAGAGGCACATGGAGAGGAGGAAAAGGATAAAAAAAAGAATAAAAGTCCTTTCACCCCCCCCCCCCTTTGATATCCTCTCCTCCCCGAACGAACAGGGACTACTGCACCCCGATGCAAGCAGGTTTCCATAATGGAGAGGAGAGCAATGCACACTCTCAGAAACAGCCACAGGTAGCAAAAGCAGAGACACAAGAGCGCAGGTGTGTGTGGGGTGTAAGGCAGCACTCCAATGAAAATACTGACGTTGCAATCGTGCAGAGAAAGAGAGAGCGTGAGATTTACAGTATGCCTGGAAAGAGGGGGGCAAAGAAAAAACAAATCTGTTCTGTCTCCAAGGCTGAGCTAACTGAGCCAAGTCACCCTGTCGCCTCTTAAGATATTTCTTTCTAGATAAGATATCCCAACTCCCCCCTCCCCTTTCCAAATAAAGTGCAGATGGTCAAATATTACTGGTCCAACATCTGCCAGTTTCAGTCAGCATTGGGGAAATTAAACCCAAAAGCACAATATCGAAAAAAATAAAAAAATCCCCGAACAACCCACCCTCAAAATCCCTTAGACTGAAGTCTCAGACTGTAAGCGGAGGACAAATTTATGAGATTTAGGGTCTATGAACTCTTCTGAGAGTTTGATGAAGGGGATTTTTTTCACATTAACAACAAGGCTGAAGTCCAAGCACTTGAGGACAAACACGATGCCGTCTTGTAACCCGCTTGTGACTGCTTCCTCGCTGACCAGCGTCCACTGCTTGGAGAACCAGCGATCCCTGTCATACTGGAGGGTTGGGCCCGGGTTGAGGGAACGCTCTGCCAAGAGCGGGACACACGTTAGCACCGGCCCCACAACTCCCTCTGCACCCTTCCCACCCCCAAATACGGCTCCACGAGCATGGGCTTGCCATGCTGCAAATTGTTTCAGCTTTCACACCTCAGAAGACATCATCTCCCCAGTCCCTGCCAGCCTTTCAGACCCCAAGACTAGGCATAAACATCAGGAGATCCTCTTCCAGTCCATCCCAGCAAGTTTATGCAGCTATAGCCCTGATTTCTGCTGTCAGTATGGCCATCTGGCAGCAGTTCAGTAGAGTAGAGGTCATTTTTCCCCTACCAGCATCATAACCCATCCCAAAATTGCAGTCCCAGTCAGACAGAACAGCTGGCTCTCTCCTTCAGGCCAAGCTAAGGTGGAAAGCAAAGGTTTCCATGTTCTCAGCCTGAGGCTGCAAAACTGAAAGCAGAACACAAAATGCCATTTGACATTGATGTGTTTTAGAGTCTCCTTTGTAATCTCAATGGTAGCAGCACTCCCCCTTTCATACCTGGGCAAGGTCCCAGGTGACCCCCAGTGAGAAGGTGCTAAGTCTCATCTCTTGACAGCATTTCTGCTCTTAGTGTAGTAAGTCCTGGGTGAATGCCTAGGAGCAACCCTTCCCTAGGATTGTGGGAGGGGGATTATATGACCCATTTCCCTCATCATTCACTCCCTCCCTATGTTTGCAAGTCAACAGTCACAGTCCAGGCATGAAGCAGCAAACTGACATTTGACCAAGAGGCCCATGAGTTAGCAACGCCATCAGAGAGGAGAGATTTAGGCAACAGTTCAAAGCAGTCTAAAATGCAGCAAGGCAGAGGGGACAGAAAAACAAAAAGATTCTTTGCAGGCTGCCACCTGCATCATGAGCCAGCTGGGAGAACTCTCTGTGAATCAAGATCACAGTCTCTGTCACTTCAGTACTCCCTTTGCTGAACTGGTACTCCTTTTAGTACTCCCTTTGCTGAACTGGTTATGAGTACCATAGGTACTTTCAGAAAAAAGAGACAAAAGATGCTGCAGAGGAAATATTACTTCCCTTTAAGATCTGATGCACCCTACAACGCACTGATCATATCACAGGCAGCAACTATGAAAACCTCCACTCACATCCCTTGACAACTTTCTGTTCTGCATGCACACACAGATGTGCCATCCCCTTCTCCCTTCTTCCCGCACCAGTATTAGAGAAAGCTTTACCTTTGGTGTCATGTTGTTGGTGATGCAGAAGGACAAGTGTTGCAAGATGCTCTCCATGCTGTGGTACTGTTGCTGCCGGGTGGTACGAAGGTACTTCTGCAATGCTCTTGCCATGGAGGGGAAGATTGCCTGGGCTGCTTCTCGGGGGTCCATCATCTCTGCTGGAGCTTTCTGCTGTTCCTCTGCCTGGAGGCGTTTGATGTGAGTGAAAGCCTCCTCTACCGCAACCACGAGCCTGCAGAAGGAAAATCAGGACAGTAAGAGTCATAACGAGAGGTAGGATGGGTCTGTGGTTAAGGAAGAGCCTGGGAGTCAGGATTTACAAGCCCCTATTCCCATCTGCCACTGAGTCACTGCCTGCCATTAGTTTACATAAAATTTTCTCTACTGACAGTCTGAGGGGTAGACAGCAGCTTTTCTTCCCTTGCCCAAGCCATTCAGCAATTGAGGGTCATAAACCAGGATTAAGATTTTAAAAGCCTGAGCATTGCACTTGATTCTGCCAACACAGCATAAACATAAGCTGCATGACTCAAACAAGACACAGCTGCCCTTGCGTTTAATGCATGTCTTTGAAAACAAGGGTTCCAGCACACAGTACTGCAGTGTGAAGCAGGAGGACAGACAAGCAGTCAGGAAGAGGCTGACTATAATCTAGCATGACCCAGGACACAGACTGCTCTGAGAATCTGTGCCCACAAGCTGCAGTCTGCTCCAATTTACACCAACTGGGTACAGAACTTGTGCTGCCAAATGACTGCCCTGCATCCCTCCAGTGAACAGCAAGGGTAAAAACACCCCTCCATCTTCACTTCTAACACTGCAGCTAGAGACATCCTCTGCAAATGTGTTGGCACAGGAGAGGCACCAAGGCCACAGCATAAAAAGGGAAGAGATGCCTTATGACACTTGTTACTTAGTACTGGGCTAACTTACAAGTGAGGGGCTACACTACAGTTAGTGAAGAAAAAACAGTAATAGAAGAACCACCCAAAAAAAACCTCTTTTGCCCCTCCAGACAGGACTTCTTTCACACAATTTCCATTCATGTCACCAATGACTGTCCAGACTTCTCTCAATACCTAAAGCATCTTAAAGCCAGGGGAAGCTGCCTTACCACAAGCAGAGGTATAGCATACTGCATTCAGACTATATACAAGGAACTGCACAAGACGTCCTGACCCTGCCCATTTTGTTTACCTTGACTTGGTGGAAGTGGAAATTGGTTTCTAGACTCCTGGCCTGAAACATCTGGCTTGATCTTCTAGTGACTGATGGTTTTCCTCTGACTAAGCAGCTGTTTTAACCAAACTCAGCAAGCAAGAGAGGTGTGCCCGAGTTAGGATGCTACACTTCACAGAAAGAAGAGTTTAAGTTCCTATTGCTCTGAGGCTGGAAGAGAGCCTAAAAGACAGTGGCTATAAAGCACAGGGCGGGCTGAGCAGGCAAGGGGGACACACTGTGCCCAGCACTTTTCCACTGAAATACAAACTGCCAAAAGAAAACACAAAACAAGCCAGCTCCTTCCAGTTATGACATATTCCTTCCAAACACACCTCAGTTCAGGGGTGCCTGCCTGTAAGCAAATTGTCTCAAACTAATAGGTATGCTAAGTACAGGCTGCAATTAGGCTCCAGAGAAAATAGAGGCACTGTCTTAGGTCACCTCAACAAAGCATCAACTCTGCAGCCTAAGTGTGACTTGAGGAAAAATACCTATGTTCCCACATAAAATGCAACCACTTCTGGTCAAGTCTTTCTTCTGCAACTCATTGAAAAGGGCAGCCAAATTTCTCCTTTTATTAGTCTGCAAACACAAATATTCTCCTCACCCATGAATAGGCAACACCAAGTGCTCCACTGATCCTGTCCCTGGATTACTCGAGCTGAGATGACAAGCTGGGGCATGGGTGAAAATAATGGGATTTCCTGCAGCAAGCAACTATGGATTTGTCAAGCACTGGACTGTTCCCTAATCCATGACATTGCATTAGCTTATCTGCCTTATATACATGAGCTCAGCTTTATGCATGTTCTTCGGATAATTCCAGCCACAAGCTGTCACCATCCTTTATGCATCTGAGTTTCATATGCTTCTTCAGTGTGACAGGTTTATAGCCAGCCCCCAGCCCTTAATCATGGGTCAGGGGGGCAGTCTGTCAGGCTCAGCAAGCCCCATGAGACTGAGCCTTGCAGCGTCAAGCAGCAGCACCCGGGAAGGAACAGCTTTACCTTGCGCGGCGTTTTTTCACTCGGCGCTCGTGGTCAGCCTCTTCATAGTAGAGCTCGTTGTGGCTGGAGTCCCTGCGACGGGCTGCAGCTGCAATCATGGCACGTGACTGCCCCGATGCGTTGTTCCCTGGGCCTTTGGGAGCAGGACAATCAAAAAAGGAGACAGAAAGGTGGTGTTACTGTCATAGGATGGGGGCTGGGACAGACCAGCGCTCCACGGCATCTGTCACAAACGCTCTGTGGCTCCAGCCTTCCCAGCCAAAGCTACAAACCCTCAGGAGCTCTGGTAGAGGCCCTGCTAGGCAGCACAGACTTAGAGAGGGGGCTCTGACATGTGGACGAGGGAAGTTAGTTGGGATGAAGGATCTCACGCAACATACACGAAGGCAGAGTGAGGTGAACATGCCAAGGATGCAACTTACCCCCCATTATATATGTTTTCAGTTTGAAGGCAAGGGCAGCTGGAACATACCACATTTCAGCATGAAGACAGTGTGAGCGCACAAAAAGTGAGAAGTTGGAAAGAGGAGAAAGATAAATACAAGAACATAATGAGATATGGAGATGAATAAGTGAAAGCCAAACTCCAGACAGTTACTTGCAAGGAAGAAAAACAGGATGCAGAGGCAGCAGGGTCACCTTCAGACAAAGCAAAGCGTTTTCCAGAAGGGCAGATGCTGTCAGAGCAGCAGTCCCACAATAGGGTAGGCTGGGGACTATTATGTGTAGTAGCTTCCCATGACACTCTGAGCAGCACCTGCCATTACAGCTTCTGCTGCTGTTAACATACCCTACACAGCCACAGGAACAGGGAAGCTGCAATCTGCTCTGTAACACCCAGTCAAGTGACAGAGCTGTCTACGACAAGACCTTAACTACTGCCTTTAAAATACAGTAGTATGTTCTGCAACTGCCCTATGAAGCTCCCAGCTCTGGCTGTTTGCGCAGGGAGAGTAAAAAATGTTGCCTCAGATGAGTTTACAAACCCTTTCATCCAGAGAGAGGATAGAGGTGGGTCTACTGAGAGCGAAGTAGTAGTCTAGGTCTGCCTCCAAACCACCAAGAGCTGCTTTTGTGACTAACTGCTCTGAAAGCCCACACTCTCAACTGGCAGTGGTTAAGGCCAATCAATTGCAGACATGCTCAAAATTGCTCTGCTCATGCAAGGGCAACTCTTTACTTTTTTTTCCTAAAAAGCACAAACTAGATTCCAAGACAGAAACCCAAAGCTCAGCAGTGGGAAGGACAAGCACTCACACAGACAGCTTCTTAAGAGTCTAAACACTTCAGACTTTGTTTGACAGCCCTGAAATGGAGGATATGACTCAAGGGAGACACTAGCTCCCAAATTTGGGTTAGATCAGTAATTTGCCTCATTGACTACGCCTGGCAATGAAAATCCTAGTTTTGAAGGTGAGCCTCCCCACTCTGTATAAGAGAGATTACAGCAAGATGGTTTTTCTTTCTGGCTGCTGCAGTATCAAGTACAAAAGCTGTCAACAAATTAGGCTCCCTTAATAGCATTACTGTCTTTTTACATGAAGGGTGTAAGAGACTGTCAATCTGCCAAGGTAAGCTGCAGCCAGAACTACACTCTGCTTTGCAAAATGGATGGGAATCTTCTTAAGGACATGCCTCTAAGCCTGAGATTTCCACATCCACAAAGGCAGAGGCATTGCACAAGGAAGAGCCCAGGCAACTGGTACTGCCCCAGAAGGGAAGGCACAAGTTTCCAGGCTCTGGCTGGTTCACACTCTTGACACTTGGAAAGGTCTGCCAGGCACATGTGGAGCTTGCTTCTGGTTACTTCTCTTCTAACCAAGTCTTATGCACTGGCAGCTCCTAAGCTACTAACGCTACCACAATGGCAATTTTTATTCTGAGCTTGGGAGCTCCAATGTCCCAGCAGGTGCTGCAGGAATAGAGACCCTGCCAACTTCCTGAAGAGATACTGCAATACAGGAGAAGACAAACCAGCTAGTAACCAGAATGGCATATCCTGCAGATAGCCTGGCAGGCTGTAGGGTTTGAATGGTGTGAAGTCACCTGTGGGATTAGGAAGCCCTCACCTTCCATACACTAAGCCTTACTGAGCATGAGAATGAATGATTTCACCTCTAGAAAAATGCAGAGTGAGTCTGTTTGCTTCCCCTCTCCAACTCAATTCAAACAAGAGCTTCACTCCAAGCAGCAAGGGACACATGATGGGCAAGCCTGTCCCTGTCCTTCTCCCTTCCTCTGTCAGGATGGGAATCTCTCACTGTAAGGATCTAAACCTCCAACTAATTTTACAGAATTCACCTTGCCTAGCTAAGTCTCTTCAGTCCTTTCTCCCTTCCAGCTCTCAAAGCCATTCAATACTAGCAAATTCACAGGCAGAATGTGCCTTACCACATTTTGTCACAGGACTTCTTCAG